GAGGGATATGTGGGAATCCGTTCTCGCACGTGATTGAGCTATCTTCCTGGCTGGGTGTGAGGCGCTCAGACAAGCAAGCTGTGTTAGAGTGTGGGAAGCCATTCTCGCACGTGATTGGGCGACTCCCGGTTTGGGTCTGAGGCGCTCTGGCTAACTGTGTCGGAGCTTTCCCGGCCCTCTCCTGATGAGAGAGCCTGTCCGTGTGGGGGTGTGACTGACCACTGACCCTGAGGCCAATCACTGACCCTGACCTTGGAATGCTGTCCCCCTCGACCTTTATTGGATGGAATTTTCCCCTGAATTTTTTGTTCCCCAATAAAAGCTCACTTTCTGGTGTGCTCGCTCTCTCTTGCTAGTCTGTTGTGTAAACCTTGCTACCCGGTCAGGTGGCTAGAGGCAAGAGCTGGGGGAAGCCGTCTCTGAGCTGGGCAAGAAAAAGGTAATTTGAGAGTTACGTGTCTTTAATTTGATCTCACTGGTTAATTTCTGTGTTTCGAACCTCTAGTATGAAGCTAGCATGCTGGTCGCATGGCAGAAAATTTGAAGAATATTTAACTTCTGATGTACATTTATCACTTTGGTGACCATGCCCCAGTAGGACTTACCATATTTCTGCAGGTGGTTGGCCAGAGAGAAAGCTGTAGCTTTGGAAGTGAGGTATTTCTCTCTGAGATCTTGCAATTTCTGTTTGCTTTCTTCCAGCTGAGAGAGCAGGTACTGGTTAGATTCCAGAATGCTCATTTCTTTCCTTGGACCAGAAAGAGTAGCGGGAGATACTGCCATGCTAAAGGTTGTGGTAGAAGTAGAACCAGAACCTGGGGATAAGAGATCCAAACAAATAATAAACTAAAAATAAGTGATCATGGTGATGATTGTACTACTTGGTAAGCTAATAAAAATCACCAAACTATACAAATATAATGGATGAARTCTATGGTATATAAATTATAAAATTTATTGTGTTAAAAATTTAGTTTCCTTACATTAAAAAAAAAAAGAATCAAAACAAGTATAAAGAATGCAGACTTGGGCCAGGCATGGTGCTGCACGCCTGTAATCTCAGCAACTTGGGACGCTGAGGCAGGAAGATCATGTGTTCAAAACCAGCCTCAGCAAAAGCGAGGCACCAAACAACTCAGTGAGACCCTGTCTCTAAATAAAATACAAAATAGGACTGGGGATGTGGCTCAGTGGTCAAGTGCCCCTGAGTTCAATCCCTGGTGACACACACACAAAAGAATGCAGACTTGAAACTAGGCATAGTGGCAAACACTGGTAATAGCAGTAACTAAGGAGGCTGAAACAGGAGGATCACAAGTTTAAGACCAACCTGGGCAACTTAGTGAGACCCTGTCTCAAAGAAAAAAAGACTGGGAGTGTACCTCAGTGGTAAAGCACCCCTGAATTCAAATCCCCAGTACCACCACACACACACAAAAAAAGCAGATTCGATCATGACTTACTTTTAGAATAAACTTTGTCGGCATGCCACAACCCTTCAAATCCTTAGCCACAAAAATAAAGCCCAAGATGCCCAGACTCAGAGCCTAAGTCAGCCTGTGGCTCAGACCCCCACAGGAGGGAGGCTCCTGTGCCAGGCCTGGAGCTGAATAACAGAATCAGAAGGTGGAGGATGTCATAGAATCTCAGCAACTCCCGCCTCTGGCTCCCTAGTCCACAGTGACACACAAGGCCACTGGTGACGCCGTGCCCTCCACAGTGCTTCTCGGTGTCTGTGTGACAATCCTAAAGGCCATCTCTGTCTAAAAGTCAAACATACATTCATTTTTTATTTTTGCAAGTGCATAGAAAACACAAAGGAATCAATATTTCCCCAATTCTTAAATTATCTTGAGGACTGTCATGACATCATTTTTTTCTTTAAAATATTTAAGAATTTTGGATAATATGGTATTCTTCTCTGATTCCTCTCAAGATTTTTTCATACTATTGTAATATTATAGAAAAAATCCTGAGTATGGTATTCTCTACATGTGAATGGGTTCTGTCTTCAGGTTCTTCTTGCTGTGCCCAATGTTAGGCTGGCTCCATTTCCTCCACTAAGGAATCGCATTGGCTTCTCATTAACTTGAAGACAGGTTTCAGGCCTCTGCCTCCTGATCCACTCCTCCTCGTCTGTGTGTGGGGTTTTTGTTTTTAATCTCTATATGCCAAGTGTGTGCTTGCCACTTTCATTCTGCCTCCCCAGGATCTCTTCCAATCTGTCACCTTTGATTTCACAGAATCTTTTTTTCCAAAACAGATCTTGAAGTAGTTTATGTATATCTCAAATACATTAGTGACCACCTTGTTTCAATTGAAACTATTCTTTGGAGCAGTTTTTATGCAACAATGATTAGTAGTTTCAGGTCGACCAATGCTGTTGACCTGAGGATGTATTCTCAGAGCGTGGTAAAAATCAAGATTGTGAGTCTGTGGTGGGAGATTCTTCTGAGAAGAATCAGAGAAGAATACCATATTATCTAAAATTTTAAAATATTTCTGTGGTAAGAAGTTACCACAGAATTCCTGTGCAAGGGGGTTTAGTGGCAAAGAAGTTGAGGTTACAAATATAGGCCCAGATGGGAGAAAGTGATCCCTGACATACCTCATTTCCTGTGCACAATTCCTCCCCAGTAGTGAGAGAGGCTCCTCTCGAATGTGTATCTCTTCACTTCTGCTGCCTGGCTCTCTAGGCTGGTGGCCCACACGTGCAGGACCGTGGACACGTCCCTAGGTACCACTGAACGGTCATGACAAGTGAAGGAAACTGCCCAACCCCATGCCAGCCTGCAAATACACCAGGTTTTTGAGAGTCTCAAAAGCTTTAGATGATATCAGTATTTTTAAATGTTGAGGTGTATTTGAAGGATTAGCATGTGGTCTATCCTACAGAATGTTTCATGTATACTTGAGAGGACGTATATTCTGCTCTTTTTCAATGGGGTATTCTACTGGTGTCTATTAGGCCATGTTGTTTTAAACATTTTATTTCCTGGTTGATCTTTTGCCTAGTTTTTCTACCCCTTATTAGAAATATGGTATTGAAATCTGTAACTGTTATTGTTGAATTTTCTACTTCTCCCTTCAATTGCATCAGATTTTGCTTTCAGTATTTTTGGGGTTTTGTTAGATGGATATGTGTTTGTAATTGTTATATCTTCCTGGTAGGTTAAGCCTTTTATAATTATGAAATATCCTTATTTGTCTCTGGTACCACTTTTTATTTAAGATCTGTCTTTTTGTCTTGAGGTAGTATAACGTTAGCTTTCTTACTGTATTAATATGTAGGGTTATATGCCAAAAGGAATTTTGCAGATGTGATTAAATTGGCCTTAAAATGGGGAGATTATCCAGGTGAACTTAATTCATCATGAGGCCTTTAAATATGGGTCTAGAGCACATAGAACTAGAATGTCAGAAAGGTTCAAAGCATGCCAGTGATCAGTGAGGAAGAAGCTCTTAAGTGCTGACTTTGAAGGTGGTGAGAGCCACAGTCAAAGAATTAAAGTTTTTTACAATTAGTGCTACCTCAAAACATAAGCTTTTTTTCTTTAAAGGTATATGGATTGAACCTAAAGTCACTCTATCACTGAGCTACATCCCCAGCCCTTGCTATTTTTTGAGACAGGGTTTTTGCTACATTGACAAAGCTGGACTCAAATTTGTAATCCTGCTGCCTCAGCCTCCAGAGACGGTGGGATTATAGGCATGTGCCACCATGCCTAGCAAGTTTCTCAAAAAATATTTTTAGTTGTCAATAGACCTCTATTTTATTAATATGTGATGCTGAGAACCAAACCCAGTGCCCTAGACATGCAGGCAAACACTCTACCACTGAGCCACAACCTGAACCCTAAGCTAACAGTTTTTAAAAATTTATCTACAGTGGGGTACGGTGATGAACGCCTGTGATCCCAGCAACTTGGCAGGCTGAGGCAGGAAGTTGGAAAGTTCAAGACCAACTTTGGCAAATTAGGGAGACCCTAAGTAATTTAGGGAGAAACTGTCTCAAAATTTAATAAATTATATTTGCTTTATATTTGCCCCCTACTGTCTGTCTAGAATGGGAGTCACAACCGCCAGCACTTTGCCCTGCCTCCTGTCCTCTCTGGATGTGCCATGCCTTTCTGGAGCCCGACGGCACTGCCTCAGTCCCCCATCCACATTCACCCAGGCTCCAACCTCTACCCTTCTGGGAGTCCAGAGGGCCCTCCCTCACAGTCACAGTTCTATACAGGTAATTACCACAAACTTTGCTCTTTTCTGGTCCCATAAGGCCAGGACCTCTAAGACTTGTACTACTGTTGGTGTATTTCTATTTTCGGTGTATCTGGAGAACTCTCTGAAGTTTCAGTTTCTTCACCCCRCTGCATAGAAAGAAGTTACCAGACGACCTGTACAAAGCCCAGTACACAATCAGGGCTAAAGTACACAATCAGGACCAAATGATAATTCGCCTAAATCAGTCAGAGATATTGGTAAATGTGGTGAGGGTATTTTTCCTAAGGTTCCACACTACAGAAATATACTAGAACTTACTTTTTACCAATACACAACCCGGAGCGGTGGTTGTACACCTCAGGCAAAACACTGATCCCTCCAAGACCACAACATGGTTTCTAAGGCCAACCATTTCTCTACTGCTTAGAAATATTCCTTTTTTTTTTTCCTGGTGCTGGAGATTGAACTCAGGGGCATTTTATTTTATTTATCTATTTTATTTAGAGACAGGGTCTCACTGAGGTGCTAATTAGCAAGCCTCACCATGCTGAGGCTGGCTTTGAACTCTCAATCCTCCTGTCTCAGCCCCACCTCAACCAGCTGCTTAGACAAATTCTTGAGTATCATTTCTCTTAAAACCACTATCAAGTCTGCATAATTTGCTCCTGGTGACTATATTTCTGTGGAGACCTGAGTTACCTTACTCATAAATAATTCAGCAGAAGTAGCAAAAAGATCACTGTCCCAGTCTGGCATGTACCACAAAGACTCCCATGGACACTCTGTAGATGCATTGATGAACCGTGCAGAGCGAGTGACAATCACATACATTAGCCAGAAATCAAAACTTGGTCCTCCACATGAAACTGCAGAGTCTACCTTCAAACCACCAAAGCCCAGAATCCGTGCCTGTGGAGCATGTGGGACGACCACATCGGACCTGAGGACTTTGTTTTCCAGATGCCTTCAAAGACTTGTACCCCCTCCTGGAGCCACCATTTAGACTTGGTGACCCCATATTGAGAGTGGCATATTGTGCTCTCTTCATAGGAAACCATGTTTTTCATAAGAGGTATTTGTATGTTTTATGGAAAGTGTTGGCAGATATCAATTCATAAAACATAGACACTCAAACTGAGAGGGTCCTATCCAGAAGCTCCCTTACGGCAGTTAGTTCTGTCCCAGTGCTGCAGGACATGGGCCTTCCAGGAAACGGAGGCAGCACAAAGGTCTCCCTTTCAAACCCCGATTCTTGTGATCAAGTCGGAAAGATTTCAGACATTTACCTCAGAGTAACCGGCGTGTGTTCTTTTTTCAATATTTATATTCATTGTACCGGGGATTGAACCCAGGGACGAAAACACTGAGCCACATCCCCAGCCTTTTTATTTATTTATTTATTCATTCATTCATTTATTTATTTATTTATTTATTTTGAGATAGCATCTCCAAAGGCTGACTTTTTGGGTTTTTTTAATTGCGATATGTTCTTTATTTACTTTTTTTTTTTTTTTTACTTTATTTTACTTTATTTTTTGTAATGCTGAGGATCAAACCAG